ATAAATATTAGGTTAAATTCCATCTCAGCATTTTGGCGAAGAAAATTGAAAGAATAAATCGAACTATTTCGTGGGATATTTGAACACCCAAAACTCCCTCCTTAACTACGCCCATGATTATCTGGTATATAGTTAAACATTTGAAATAACGATTGATAGTATCTTAAATCGTGGTCGAAATGTACATATTCTTTTTATTCTTGGGAATATTTCGATACATATATTTTTAATTAGTGAAATATGCAAAAATATAATTTTATACGAATATATTTTCTGAGCATCAAAATAAGCACTAATATGCAAAATGAAATTTTGTATTCATATTATTTTTGCAATGAATCGTCGACATATCTTATTTTTATTTTAATGCATACATCTATTAAAAAAATATTTTTACATAGAAATTCGCGATCTAGTTATTATTTTCATTCGTATTAAAATTTACGTGTTGTAGATAACATATTTTTTACTTTTGTTTTTTTCGTATAGGAACTTACGAGTTCTTACCCAATTTCACCTACTACCTATTGCACCTCGCGTGGGAATATAAACTCTTTCCTCAATTTTACAGCATTATTATGTTACAGCGGGTCAGCGGCGCAGAGCGTTTCAGTTAACCGATTGTATGGGATTGTTCTCGATGGGCCGTCGAAAACATTGTGTTTCCGTGCGTGATACACACAATTCATAATAATTACGGGTTTAAACCCGGTGCATAAAATATATTTTCATCACAGTCGTTCGTCGAATGGTCGTGAGGAAGAGAGAGGGGGTGGGAAGGGGTAAACATTACGAGGAACAAATGCACAAACAGACATTACCGCAGCTTTAAAACGTTCGCCGTATGAATTTACCGACTGTTATGGACGCAACTTTCGTTTAGTATTTCCGCCGTTATTGCCATATAGTCAACTAAACGCTGTATATTCCAATTAAACCGATACTGACCTTCAATACGGAACACATAAATTACAATAATCTGCCGACGTTTCCACTCGGTAATTTCAATCCCGAAATGTATGTGTGTGTGTGTGTGTGGGCACGCGCGCGTGAGTGTGTTAAAAACAAAGGTGTGCGCATAGGTATCATAATAAAAGTACATATTGTTTATATTTGTATTTATCACCGGAAAACATCAGCTCGGATGTTGGTCGACTTGCTACAGAAACTTCCACAATTTATCGTTGTCTGCACACTGACTTTTTATTAGTTATACAATGTTAGGTACACTCGTCTACACTTGATAATAATTACATTATTCAAGATGAATACAAATTATTTATTTCCAGTATCATTAAAACATATTGCTACTTCACCGATGGATTTCTAATCCCTTGTTAATGTAAATATTGTATTACATTATATTACAGTATTTTTTTCGGTATCTATAGTACAGATAGGTATGGATGGGTTCTCATCACGCTTTACTCAGATCAAAACATTTGAAGAATTCACGTAATTAATTATTTATCCAGACATCTTGTCATTCGAAAAAAATCCACTTAAAACTTTTTCAACGATTGAACTTAGTTGATTTTGAAATGCAGCTTATAGATTTTCAGTCGAGTGCTGTAATTTGGAAACGAAAATTTGTTTTACTGTGAACGAATTCGAAGAGCGTGATGGGACAGTAGATAACTCGGACGAAATACAAAAAACAAGATTTTGAAATTATGTATTACTATTCCAGGAAATAATACCTCATTAAAAATTGTTGTATTGGCTATTGCAGTAACCTGATCGCTCTCACCGCTTAATTACTGCACGCTTCTTTAACGACGAATGCACGTTTCCAAGTGTTGACTAGTTGGAAGGAGTTGAGAGTTTTTAGTAAAGAAGTTTGTTTTGACACTTTAAAATTAACTTAAACTTTTTTTTTATTAAATACCAAAATAATTATACAATTACAAATTTGTCGACAGAATCTAAGTGTTCTGCCGGAGAGTAGCTATTTGCATTAAGGTTTATAATTGAATATTTAACTATCTCCAAAAACCTCTGTAATAACGACTCATATTTATATGGGACTTGCAGTAATTAGTGAGAGGATGATTGACGTCATAGGAATGGCGTGATGTACCGAAACTCGTCCTTAGCGAATCGGGTGGCAGCATCAATGTTCTGATCCGGTGGCGTGATGTTGTTCTGACAGAGTATAATTTGGAATGACGTTTTTTATGTAAAACGTCGGTTTACTACACTATTTTGTCATTTTTTTTCACATATTAATGCGAATCACTCTTTTTAGAAATTGATTTTATCAAATCTACTATGGTAAATTGATTGGTATAAAGAATACAAAAAAATCTTATCAAGCAAATTAACAAGTATTAAAATAATGTAAATTCGTTTAGTAAATTTTTAATTTATTGTGTTCTATTTAACTCTTCGATTGAAGCTTTGTTATAAATATGTACATATCTACTCATCTACTCAAAAGGTACGTTAATATTGTTTTTGAACATTATGTTTTCCGTCCGATTATAATCTCATAATATAATATGGTGTTATACCATAATTATATCTGAAAACATAAATTGTATGATCACGAACACTGATGTTATTATATGTTAATATTCAAAGTTATACATTTTTATAAAAAAATTCGATTTTAATTTCAATTTTGATTTTTGATATGTTTTTTTTAATTTCAATTTTGGTTTCAAATATTGATATTTATTTTTTGTAATTTCGTTTTTGATTTCGAATATCGGTATTCATTTTTTTCAATTTCGGTTTCAGAAATCTGTATTTATTTTTTTTCGATTTCGGGTTCACAACAGAATGTTATCCATAACTTATAATCATTTCTCAAATTTTAGTACATCATCAGCATAATAGTGTTGTATGTTTTAGCGCCTGCAAAAGTACTAAATAAAACTATTTTAGATTATTTAATTGTATATTATTGGTTAAAAGTATAACTCACGAATGATAGCCAATGGAGTATTATAAATTAATATCTTATCCATAATAATACACTACAATATGTCTATATATAATATATTATACGGAAAAATCATGTGTATAAAAACAACAATCACTCGTCGAACGCTGATTCCTTATCGTAAATATTCGATAAATATTTCGAAAACAAAATAGGTACTAGTTATTTATTATTATAAAATTATTATCAATTATTATCAATATTATTTTGGCAAACGCACTTTCCGTGTGCCAAAATGACTTATCAGAAGGAGATTTGTATTAAAAAGACTTAAAATGCAAAATAAGGAAAGATAAAAGTTTTATTCAGTTAACATACAGTAAAGCAACGAAATATGGCGGCGCGTAACAGCGGTCCTACGGGAACAATCAAAAAAGTGCGACGCGGTCAACGGTTCGGTGTCGAGAGCGCAACCGATGACCGACGCGTCGCTGTAGCGGTGTAATGGAGGTGGGTAATTCTCATGGAGGAAACAAAAACCGTTGTGATAAGTGGGGTTGAATCCCCCACATTATTACCAAATATGACAATGTCTACGAATTGACAATATAAATAGACCTGTTGGCTGTTGAATTATAAAATAAATTTGATTTAAAATCGTTTTAATTATTAAAATTATTTTGATTTTGATATAAAATATCGATTTTAACTTTTTTCAAAGTCAATATAAAATTTGAAAATAATTACCAACCTTTAACAATTTTGATATTGATTTTAATTTTCTAAAAGATTTTTAACGATTTTTATCGATATCTGAAATCGATTTTGAAACATATTTCAAGCCCTGCATTAGATTCTAATATTTCCTTGTAATGTACATTGTATTACGAATATATAACAAGTACCTATACATGGTTTTGGGAATCATAGGTTTTTCAAATTAAGAAAACTGCAATTGTTATTCATGTCATTCACTTGTCATTTATCAAGTGTAACGTTGACTTGAAATCGTCGGAGGAGAAGATTTATAGTATTTTGTATGTTCGTTTACAAATTTTCCAAAGTTCTAGTATCATTGCAATTTAGTTTTGATTATTAAACGTTTTAATGAAACGCAAGTCTTCAAAGTTATAAAAACAATATAATATTAATACGTTGGAATTTTTCTGATGGATTCTCATTTCTTGTTTAAACAAGATTCATTATATTTTAGTGTCTACCTTCAGTAATTTGAACGTTTAATAAGTTTTACGAAACTCGTGTTGTATAAAACTATTTAAAAAATATAACGAACGCAAGGTAATAATTATCGCACTAAATAACGCGAATAAAATGCGTAAAGATAATATCATTTATTTTTGTATCATTATTTAATATTTATCTAAAACGTTTATTGTTCACATGACTATTTTCGTTGTGCATTAAAATGCGGGAAAGAACGCAAAGAATGTATTATTTGTAATTTTTTTTTTTTATATATTATTATTTGTGTAAAGAATGTCTCTTTCAGGATCAATTTTCTTCACGAATTATCCGACTATGTTTTCGCAGTACCATTAAAGTAATACCATGTCAATAATTATTATAACAACGTGTGTTCGTTTGCAATGTGTCAACAATAGTTTCATTTTGCATTAATGTCAATATTCGATAAATATATTGAAGCGGGACTAGTAAGACCAGAAGAAGTGGCGTTTGATCAATATGAAAATATGTTTATCAAAAAAGATCTTCGTGATAAAAAAATGAAAAGTCTATTTTCGCATCGCGTTATAGGAACGATGAACAGTGTCAACAGAAATCCAGTGATGAACACAACTTACTGCGATAGTCGAAAATAGTTGGTTTTAAATACCGGTTACGGATATGGTCAACCCCAAATTATCGTTTGGCGGACGGCGAACGGTATAATAATAGTTATAGTGACGTTCGTACGAGTACTGCCTATTTTTTAGGCTAGCGGATCTGGAGTCCATTGTTCGGCAATGCGCTTAATTTTTTTTTTTGTTTCCAATCAGCAAGAGGATATATTTGATTACATAATTGTTTCGAAAATAAGTATACGCGCGTGACGGACTGGAAGGGCTATTCGAAATTATAGCTCGTTGCGTTGTCCACAGTATCATTCAGGTAGGACGAATACACTTGCATCGCCTTCAGTCGCCAACATCTTTCAGCTGAAAGAACACACCGAAGTCATCCGACTAATTATTGCCGCTGTACAGTGAAATGGAGAATTTGCGTAGCACCGGCACAGTGTTTGCGATTGTGATGATTACGGTACTGTTGTTTGCCAGACAATCATCCGTAAGTGCGATTTGTTGTTACTTAGCGCGTTGGAATGTATTGGAACAACGACATTATTTACTTATCGTATCATATTTGTTAGGCGAGACCGCAACCGGACGAAGTAGAAGACATGAAGAAAGCATTGTACTCGGCTTGTTCCGGGAAATCTCCGATCACGGAGGGTGAGTGTTGAATAAGTGTTAATAAGGGTTAAAAAAATATACTAGTAATGTATTAAATATTAACGTTTCTGGTGATTAGGTTGAAATTAGTAAAAAATTAGTTAATATTCGATTCTAATATTAATTAGGTTGGAATTAAATGTGTTTTCAGAGATGAAATCGAATGCGAAGAACGGTATATTTTCGGAAGAACGTAATTTCAAAGTGAGTCACATGTGAACTAGTTTTAAGTACATATTATTATTTTATCACTGCTTATTTTTCTACGACAGTTTTTATATATAGCAACCATATTGTTACATTCAATATTTTTAAACGTATGCGTCATAGTACTACTGTAACTACTATAGTATCTATAGTAACTTACTATAGTAACTACTGTAATATTCGTACAAAATCTTATTTCAGATAATATCCTATAACGATACAGAAAATTGTTTCAGATTAAACGTAAAATAACAAATTATTTAATTTTTAATCTTATTTCAAAAAAATTCTCGTGAAACATGTTAGATCATGCGATGTTTTTTTTTTTTATGAATTTTAGCCTGTTAAATAACGATTAAATAGTAAATTTACAGTTTCATTCATATATTAATTATTATTCAATATCTAAAAAACAAAATAGCCTGTTAAATAACGATTAAATAGTAAATTTACAGTTTCATTCATATATTAATTATTATTCAATATCTAAAAAACAAAATAGTTGAAATTTTAAATAAAAATCGTTGTATATTATTATCAAGAAATATATCTGTGTATACGAATTACAATATTTTTTAATGTTATTTCCAAGGCTTTGCACCCGAATAATTTATTCGGGTTTCGGGTGTTCAAACACCGCAATACAACATTTAAATAAACGTTTGGGTGTTAATAAGGTTATTATTTGGTTAATATTGGTTAATATGGGGGTTAAGTATTCAAGGAAAAATATTATTTTTCATTGGTGGAGGGTGGTGGGGTGGCTGAGCACCCCTCCACTAATGAAATATTTATATTTTTTGTTACCTGCCTATGTAATAAAATATCAATTTCTTACACAACTGTGCAACAGTTTTTTAGACTAAACTATCATTATGTTAATTTCAAGCAATGGTGTACCTACGATTTATTTTCAGGGAAGAGTGGGTTATTTTATATGTGTATGAAGCTTAAATTATAATATCTATTAAGATTAAAAATACTAACACTATATCCTACTTCTAGTTAATGTGGGCATATCGTATGCGACAAAAAAACAAACTATTTTATATCTGCGTTTGTGTTTGTGGCATAGGCGAAAATCGGGGGGGGGTTTGAGGGGATTAAGCCCCCCAAAAATATAAAGTACAGGTCTTAGCCTCCCTAGCCCTAAAAATTGTTAAGTGACTAAAAATACAATAATTATTATAATTTTAAAATGCATTTTTAATAACTGAATTAAAAAAAAATATTTTGTGATAAAAATTAAATCAAAGTTTTAAGATTTTACAAACTTCTTGTCATGACTTGGCACGATCGCAATTAATATATGTTTAGAATACCTACTCCAAAAATATTTAAGATAAAGCACCTTATTGTTTTTTTGTTTAAATTGTTGATTAAAAATATCAAATTGTCAAACTTCGTAAATTACCTTGTTGAAATAAATAATTGCGCACAATGGTATCTATAGGTATAATAAGTAAATAATGCTCAGCCCCCCCCATAAATTTCATCACTTATGATTTTTGGTGCGTGCACATTGTGAACTGCGCACACTAAAAACGCACTAGCTAGGACATAGCTTAATACAAAAATAATAATAATTTGTATTTATGAATGTTAGATAAATTTATGTATTTTTGTTTTATGTATTATGTAAATTTATGTAAATTATTACACCAACAAAAATCGACAATTCACGACATAGACATGTGTACTACACGCCATACATCGAACAAATACGAATTACGCGAACAACAATTTAGGTAATCATACACGAGACATCAGTTCTATTTCAGACTTACAATATTGCAATAAATAACGACTCTGTGATTTGTAGAAGATCTATTATCTATTAAATTATAATAATACGACATATTCGCTTGGGATAATTTTAAAAATAGTATCCCAGTTGTTTACACTTGAACATTCAATATACCATACCATTCATGCACACTTGTCAATATGATATATTACTATAGTCTTTATTTAGATACATTTAGGTTAATTAACAATTTTGTATATTATTTGTGAAATTATTTCTGTGAATAATAATTTCACTATTAAACAATTAATGAAAAAATTGAAATAACCACAAAAAATACGTACAAAATGATATGTTACATAAAGATTGTAAAATAAAAAATTATTCAAGTTTCGGATTAAAACCAATATTTTATTCGGGTTTTGGTTAATTCGGGTGTTTAAAAAAAAAAATCATTCGTGTTATATGGGTTTTGGGTTTTTGATTTTTTAAGGGTTTTTAGGGGTGTTACGGGTTCGAGTTAATTTGGGTGCAAAGCCCTGGTTATTTCAATGGTTAATGTTTTACATTATTTATTTGATGAAGAAACTATGAACGGAATTGTATCTAGAAAGTCAAAGAATGAGATAGTAAAATTATAGTATTATTAATGAGTATTTACTTGGAATAAAATATTGGACTTTATGTATTAAATAAGATATTAAAATTAATTATAATTCATTACGTATTATTAGAATTTAAACTGAAAATAAAATACTAATATGGTATGCAATCAATAATATTCAACACCTTAAATAATCTCATACATAAAATAAAACATTACTTGATTTATAGTGTATAAGTATAAACATTTATAGTATATTAAGTATGGTTATAATATTTTATATACAATTTAATTTTAAACACATATTTAAAACTAGTCTTTGAATCAATCAGTATCCATAATATATTAAGATATAGTTTAATAATGATACACAAAAAACATTTTTTTTTTTAAAGCAATAATATTTGACATTAAAAGATTTAATCATTAAAAATAAACTTAATAAAAATACTTAATAAACTTAACTTAACTTTTTAAAACTTAATATTGAAATTGAAGATAAAATGCGTTTCCAAAATTAACATTTTTCTAACAAATATAATATTAATTATATTATTAATATTAATTCAATAGTAATAATGTAATCATTGAAGTAAAAAAAAAAAAAAAAAAAGAAAGCCTACTTAAATTTCACAATTAAATAAATGTTTTTATTAATATTGATATATAAAATAATAAAATTTGACTCCTATAACAAAATATTTTATATGTTTGTAAATATTATATAATTTTATAATCTATGTGAAATATATGTTTAGTGTTTTTTGATGTGCACATTTGAAGAACTCTCATTGGTAAGAATAATGAATTGTTAAAAAATTATTACCTAATGGAATCAAGATAGAATTTTACTATGTTTTTAATGAGCAGATCGACGAAGAGGGTGTTATAGATGGTGAGGCTATGGAATCTATGGTAATCGATGATATCAAGCCAATGATAAAAGAAGCCGTAAAATCCTGTTTGCCAGATATAGGTAATGTGATATATTTTTTTCAAGCTTTTCTTTTAATTATCCTAAATTATATTATTTTTTCTTCGTATTATTATAATACGTATTTAACTAGCTAGATATTTTTTTTAATCCCATATGTAAATATTCTTGGAATTAAAAATATATTAATGACGAAACATATGTAATATGAGTAATTCATAAGTAATATTTTTTTTCTTTTTAGTTCTGATAAATAACTATAAATAATGGAATTATTTTATTTTTCTATTTCCATGTATGCATTATATCGTTTTTGTAGCTGGAAAGCCAGATCCTTGTGAAGTTGCTTTCAATTTTGTAAAATGTGGAGCAAATATCAATGCTAAATTGGTAAGTTACAAGAAAATAGATAATTTTTATTTAAATTTACACCAGAACATTTTTGTTAATTAAAAACCAAATTACTTCCTAGTAACCAAAATAGATAATGTGCCTATTACACTTTTTTCAATTCATTTCAATTATGTTCAATTATGTCGTAAATAAAAAAAAGTAAAGCAAATTTTTTTAAAATAAAAAAACTATTCACAATTTCCAGTATTTGTCATAAAATATTACAAACACAATCTTTCATAATATGCTGTTTTAATTCCATGGTTAAATTATATATAATATATATAATATAGGTTTTTTATACGAAATTAATAAAGCAATTTAAAAATTATGATCAGAATAATTTTTTTAATGCATTACGATATTTTATCATTGTTTTGAAATATTTATAAATAACACAAATATTGCACATCTATCTTAATGATCTGTAAAACGTACTTGATTCATGCCTCATTTATCGTATGCCCCTGCCAATATCTGACAGCATCCGGTCTCAGTATTTGGTTGTCGTGTATGCTTAACGTGTATATAATCCCGCAGACAATCAATTAGTATTACGTATTTGTATTTATTTATCAGTGTAGGGTTGAAATGTCAAAAATATTGTGTTCAGTCCACACCACTCTTGTGCTTGGAGTAGAATATATTTACGAGTATTTTGTTGGACACAAAAGAACATATATTTAATTATATTTTATGTATTAATTATGCAGTTATATGAAACAGAACTTGTGTATATTATATTTTTGCAGATTGAAATGTTACCATTGTAATCAAATAAACGGAGTCTAAGTATAAAACAATGGACGGAAAACATTTATAGAACAGCACCATTGTATCCTTGAATGTATACAACTACAAACGTAGCACTGTTTAAAGCACTTATAAAAATAAAATCGTATAAAAAAATTCCGTTTTGAATCAACTATTGTGTCTTCAGTGGTGTAATTCGTTTAAGATTCGGGGGACGGGAGGGGGGGATTGTAATAATGTTTTTTTTTGTTTTAAAACAAAATATTCAAAAATACAGGGGGTATTCCGGAACCAGCACTAATAACTAATTGCTTTCGATTCGTTTTGCAGGACTAAAAAAGTTTTCCCTGTACGATACCATACTCTTATGACGGACGAACTGTAATTTTCAGAATATTATTCTGTAATTATTCATATTAATACGGACTAACGACTATTATACTACCTTGACATGCGTACTGCATGTTACAGTTAAATATTATTGTTATATTTAGTACCATCAGTATCACAGTGTTCAACGTTTTAAACGATCGCATACTTAATTGATTCTGGGGTAATGGTAATTTAAATTCAAACTTACTGCTTAAGATGTACGAAAACACCATTATTCCTTCAAAGTAGAACCACCTCTATGAGTGTTTTATTAATAACAATCATTATTTCAATTCATCGTCCATTGTTGTACTATTTCACGTAAGAATTAATGTACAACAATGCAAGTACAATAATACACAAATAAAGTAATAAATTGTTTAAAGGAACAATTGTCATAAAAGGTTTACAGGTAAGTTAAATACGATTCGTAAACATTGTCGGGGAACGTTGGATGTAAGCACATTTAGTTTGAAAATCTCCAAAAAAAACATAAATATTATTTATTATTAATATTTTACATTGTTTAATCGAAACGTTCTGTACGTTCACATCGATATCACAAATAAAAATTGAGAATTTACTCGTTGGCATGGTCATTTTATCGCGTTACGGTATGGATGGGAGTTTAGAAACCGATCAATTTAACATAATTCAACGCGTGGGCTCACGTAATCAGATCACTTTGAATCGAATGTTTGGAATGACAGTGGGTCATACGAAAAATCACATGGTTATACCGATTATTCGGATAATTATCGTATACTGTAGTTTCAGAGTCACTGCTATTGATGTACTTACCATATAATATTATAATACTAACGTTTTCGTATGGTGTATCCAACAATAACGTACTCACAAATACATTCCATTGTGTTCATGCCATCGAACCACCTTACAGACAATTTGATTAAAACGAAATGACGATATTAGAGATTGACTATACCAAATATAACAGGCAAAGTAAAACCTAGGTCTGGTGCAGTTAAGTGTTTCTATTACATAATATTATACTATATATATATATACTTTATTATTAGTTTTGATCAATTATACGTTTATGAATAATTTCGATACTTACATAATATGATGTTTATGAAGTATTGAGTGTACTCATTGTCAACACAAATATCGAACGATCTTTGCGTAGGTACTTAAATGTTATTTTTGTATAAATATAATACGAATTAAAGTGTTACGAAATGTGTATAAAAATGTATTCAGTTCTATCGACTGTACGCGAACGAAGTATACTAATAATACGACGAGTTATTAAAATAAATATGTTTGTTATAAGTCGCATTGTAAGGCTTAACGGGAACGCACTTAAATATTTAAAACGAACAAATGCAATAAATATAAACTATAAACCCGATTAAAACTTATCGAATCATGAATAACAAATCGTGTACCTACCGTTTCGATGTGTCTGCGTCGCAAACGTTTTAACCGTACGGTTTGTCTCGCCGTGTCGTATTCGTATTCGTGCGATGCGTAGCGGTGCGTTGCGTTGCTGCGGCGAGGTGCCTCCGTGTGATTGTCCGTTGTTTCGCGTGACATCGATGTTCAATTTATCGGATATATTTGTGTAGTATTTCAAAATGTTACGCTTTCGGCGCCATAAGTTTTCACTAGTTCACGGTTTCCAGTCTTAGTGCGGCGACTCTTTTGTTGTCAAAATGGTGTCCGGCGGCCGTGGCCTTCGTAGTGAATACCGTCGGCCTATTTGTTCGTCGATACCATCTCGTCCGTCGATTACGTCGCGCACAGCTATCGTTCCGTTCCCGTTACAACACGTTTTTTTTTCTTTCAGACAACCACCACGAAACGCTGTCTCGCGGGCCTGTTTCGGGCCGTTTGGTAATTACCGTTCGAACGATCGTTCGTCGCTCTTCTTCGAATTGGAAATGCGTTCTAGATAAATTGCCAGCGGCCGTTGTAAATAACGCAGTTTTCCCTGTCGTCGTCTTCGCGTACCGAAAACGTACGGGATCGGATATCTGGGGGGGGGAGGATACTATTTCTACATTAAATGATCACGCGTACGATAATAATATAATGCGCATGGATTAATGGTAAAGAGTAAAAATGGTACGTCGTGGATGGTTCAAAGCGCAAAATATATAATCGATTGAAAAAAATGAAAAATGAAAAAAATAAGGGGGGAAAAAACGATTAAAAAGTTGGTGTTGCCAAACATGATATCGACTTAGAGTTTACGTTAAGTAGCAACATAGGCGCAAGAATAAAATCGATATTCAAAGCAAACAACGAAACTGTAGTGGGGCGTACGTGGGGTTTTCGCAGTGTCGAAACGGAAACGGTGCAGGTAATCTTTTCCGGGATTCGATGGGCTTAATACAGATATCGTTTTAATCGAGCCGCCGAGTGTGGTACACAGATACACTGCGTCTACCACGCGTGTTCGACTAAGACCCTCCTCGACGCAATACACGATTCGGCGGGACCAATATCGCGGTCGACTCGACCGACCCATTGCTTCACCACCAACAACCCCTTCTGCCATAGGTTTAGATGTTTCAGATGATAATATAATGGTACACGGTGTGCCGTCGAACGCTACTCGTCCATTCGAGGGGAAATATCGCGGTGGTGGTCTTCCGCGTGATGATGCGTTCGGCTTATTAATTGTGCACTACGCAAAGTCGATAATCCGACCACGTCGGTATTATGCAGGTTCTTAATACGTTTAAGGTTAATGACTTTGGACTTCGTAACGCGATGCTTCATTCGATTTATATTTCTCTTGGCCGCGGACGTGTCGTTGGACCGTCGTAATCGTCCCGTCGTTTGAGCCTGCGTTTGGCGAATAAAAATCGTTTATTTTTCGGAAAAATAGTTTTATCCGATAGTTGAATCGACGGCTATACTAACATATCCGGAATGTGCAACATTTTATCGCTGTACACTGTTGAATCAGGATATATTGTTCACAGAAATGAATTCGTAATGATTAAGTAATCAATAGAAATATCGTTACATATTTAAAATATCTTTTTCAGTGTTCGATCGGTCAAATACTCGTATAAACAATCGATTTATTTTAGGTGTGTCATGCGGTGTGGTGTTTCGGAAATCTTACGTTTTGAACTATTGAGTGATTTCATAGGTGACCATACGGGCAAAATATAATCTCATATATTATGCTTGCTACAAGTGACGATTCAATAGATATCGAAAAAATCGAACGGTGAGCTATAAATACTAGTTTAATCATCAAATTCGTCTTTCATAACGATCAGAAATATAGTTGTTATGTCGCGACACGTCGTCAAGCTTTTAAAACAATATACTCACTACTTACTACTTTATTATAACACTTTTAAAACTACACAACATCGTCGTAGAATACTATTAGCATTATATCATAGAAAATATCATTCCAGCGTATAAGCTGAAAATTATTTCAAGAAAATATTTATTTAAAATATCATATAGCAATTTGGAGAGAAAAAATGAATTTATTTTGTCATGCAGTATTGGTTGTGATACGCATTGCAATATATAATGTTTTATATTAAATAATATATACGATATAAACTGAACAACAGCCAGTTACGCTTATACTGTCTTAAACACTTTTTGATATTGTTTGATTATTATTCCGTGATGAAATATGCTTTTATCGTACAGCGGGCACAAAAAAAAAAAGGTGGATCCTAATATCGCTTCTACGGTTTATGTGAGAATAAAAAAATGGCATTTGTCTGTTTGTTATTTTGATGTAAGTATTATTTATAGTGTATAAGTTATAAGTGTGAATGTTACCGGAAACTGGGTCATTCAGCCATAAGCATTTATGATACCTTTGTTGACTAATAAGTATTTCTACAAGTCCGTTATGCCTGTCCGTAGAATAATGTTGCATGTCTAAGTATACCACACATTTGATGAAAACTGAAGTGCAAGTTTATCATCTCATAAATAACGTCACTATGGAACAGTGATGCCTCTACTCCGGTAATTCTCAGCTGGCGTGACATGGATGCAGTATAGGGGTGACACGAAATCTCCACCGGAAAAGGAGAAAAATAAGAAAATAATTAATTTTAATAAAATTATATTATTACACAACTGTCATGTAAATAGCATACCTTTAAGTTTGTGTCTCTATATTTTTATATTTATTATTTAGATTCGATAAATACGTGCAGTATTAGAATTAACGCGAATTATTGGTTATTGATTATTGATTATCGATTATTTTATCGACTTAACTGGAGTCGTTAGTCAGTTATATTTCGTTCGCTAGATATGTAGTATTATTATAGTATATTATAGCTCTACAATACTAGAAAATAATATGAGATTCAGTCTTTCCACCATTAGCTCTCCACCTCTTCAACTATGTAAAAAACCACCAGGGACAATCTCTTTTCAGTTTTTATACAAATCATTAATTTTTTTTTTTTTTTTTTATTTAATTTGCATATTTAAACTTTAATAAACTTTAAAATGTAAATTTTTATTGAACCCTGTAACTCAATCAATTGTAAGTGTATTTATTATTTTTCTGTGTACAGTATTTTTTTTTATTTTTTTTTTTTGTTATTTCAAGAATTATTCTAAAATACGTTATTATTATTATTATTATTATTATTATTATTTTGATGTTAGGGTGATTTGGTGTTTAATTCTAGTGGCTAAAGGTGACATAAATGAGAAAATTATGAGAATCATTGCTCTACTCCATTGCATAGTTTTTGACAATATGTGCACTGTCACCAATCGGTTAGATACAGTTCTGAATAAAATATTTATCTGTTGCACGGTTCTGTA